TTAATTGCTTTTTTCTTTCTTTTTTTGAATAAATTGCTTAATTCTTCATTTAATACTAATTTTATCTTTATTTTTATTACATAAATACAAGTCAGAAATAAGTTTTGATATAACAATAAATTAGATCAAGTATTAATTGCTTCTTTTTTTTATATATAAATTACTTGATTCTTAACTTAATACTAATTTTTATTATATAAATTCAATTCAGAAATAAGTTTTTGCATAGTTATAAATTAGGTCAATATTGAATACTTTTTTTTTTGTACAAATTGTTTGATTCTTTACTCAATACTAATTTTATCTTTATTTTTATTATATAAATCTAAGTTAAAAATAAGCTTTATATAGTAATAAATTAGATTAAATATTAATTGCTTCTTTTTTTTTATATAAATTGCTTGTTTCTTTATTTAATATTAATTTTTATTTTTATTTTTATTATATAAATTCAAGTCAGAAATAAGTTTTTATATAGCTATAAATTAGGTCAAATATTGATTGTTTCTTTTTTTATTTTTTGTATAAATTGCTTAATTTTTTGCTCAATCTATCTTTATTTTATTATATAAATATAAGTCAAAAATAAGTATTTGTGTAGCTATAAATTAGGTTAAGTATCAATTGCTTCTTTTTTTTTTTTGTATAAATTGTTTGATTCTTCACTAAATACTAAGTTTTTTTTTATTTTTATTACATAAATTTGAGTCAAAAATAAGTTATTATATAGCTAACTTAGATCAAGTATTGATTGCTTCTTTTTTTTTTTGTATAAATAACTTGATATTTTTTTTGTTCAATAATAATTTAATTTTTTATTATATCAATTTAAAATAATTATTAGATAAGCTTGTTAATAAAATGTATTGTTAGTGTAATAAGATCACTGATAATTCAATCTTGTTAGTAAAATAAATATTGCTGAATTAATTATTATTAAGGATAAAGAGTAACATAAATCAATTTTATATAGAAATATATGGTATTTTGAAATTTTCATCTAAAATTGAAATATGTTACTAATAAAACTTTTTTATTTTTTAATTATTCAATAAAAAAAATTTATAATATTATAAATAAAATTATTTATCTATTATAATAAAATTTTAAAGTATTGTATTATTTTAAAATATATACTTGTATATATGACAAAGTTTTCTGAAGTTTTTCAAAATTTGCTGGGGTTACATGAGATTATTGAATTTGATTGGTTAATTTACATAACCCTATAAATTAATTTAATTAATAAATTTTTATATCTAATTTTTAAAAAGTTATATCTTACTAAGTTTTTACTTAATATTAATAATTTTACTATTATTAGAATCAAAAAAACCTACTCTACAAACTTTTCTTATAAATTAAAATTAGTTTACTTAATATAATTTTTTATAAAATTAAATATAAAAAAATTTTATCATTAGATTTATATATAATTTTAAAATACTATCCTCTACCCTTAAAATAAGCTTGTTGATTAAGTTAGCTTGTCTATTAATTAAATATCAGTAAATTGATTATCTGTAAAACAAATATATCAGTAAATTAATTATCTATAAAACAAATATATTAGTAAAATAATTGTTGATAAAACATTATATTAGTAAATTAATTGTTAATAAATTGAACTACACTATTATAACTATCTGCTTTAAGCAGATAAAAAATTACTAATTGATATTGCTTCTTATTTATTTAACTATTATAATAATATCTAGCATAATCTTATTTTTTAAACTATATTTTAGACAAATTTGTCTGAAAAATTAAATTATATTTAGTATTTTTTAATTAAAATAATAATTTATTAATAATATGAGATATATTTTGTTTATAAAATATATTATTAAAAATGTATTTTATAAACTTTATTATAAAAATTTTTTTAAAATATTAATAAACTTTTATGTATTAAAACTTTAAAGATTCTATTTAAAAATTTTTATTATTAAAAATTTATAAGTTTTTTTACGATTTTATATGTTTCTAAAACTAAAAAAAATTTACACTTTGTATAAGTTTAAATTTTTATAAATAAATTGCAAAAATATTATTAACAAAAATTAATATTTTTTATATAAACTAAAATATTGTATTAAGAACTATAGACTTAAAATTAATATTTAAAAAATTTATTAAAAATTTATAAATAATTTTTTTGATTAAAATTTTTTTTTAAATTTGTCGATTTTTAATTTATAAATAATATGTATATATTTTTTTTTAATATAAAATTAAATACTACTATAATATAATCTTTATTTTCAAATATTATCAAATAAAATTTTATTTAAATATTTTAAAATTTAAAAAAAAAATAAATCATAAACATATTTTTAATAATTTTTTAGTCAAATTTGCTTAGAAAAACCTACAGATTAAGAATATGCTAATTTTCTAAGAACATATTATTGATTCAATTTGAATTACTTAGCTAAAATTACTCACAATATATTTTGCAGACTTCAGGTCCTTTAATTGAATTTATTTCTGATGCTTTTAACTAACCAGCATTCATTCAGTTACATGATTAATTGTACATATGTTTTTCGATAGTGTTTAATTTTGACATTAATAAATAGCAAAGAAAACATTACAACGTACAAGTACATTTAGTATACTACATCCTTTTATTAAAAATAAGTAAAACATCATAAAACTTAATGCAACTTGTTAATGAATATAAAGATACCAACTATGAAAAGTTTAAGATATATTTGGATAACATGGGTAGATCATTAATCCATATTAAGAAAAAATAAATTAATATATGCAGATCGATTTTAAGAATGAGTGACGCAAAGCTAAAAATGCAAATCCTATTGGATAAGATACATCAGGCTTAGCTCTGAGACATTCAAACAACCAAAATATCAAAGTAACAAATAACGCCTAGAGGTGAAAATACGAATTTTAGGTTAAACTTAGCAAAAACCGGGCGAAAAGTGAAAAGAATACCCGAGACTAATATTTTGAGACTATACAGTAACTCAATTTGCGTAGGATTTGTTATTAAAATGAACCCGGAGCGACGACGTCGTCTAATAGGTCCTTACACAGAGACTCGATCCATCTATCTTGCTTGCATATAATATGTCACGTGATCAAACAATTATAAATACAACCCGAATAAGATAAAAAATTTCGGGGGCCTATGCGCAAATTGATCATCGCATTCAGCGCCTTCAGCGCATATTGCGAATAAAAGATAATATAAAATATTTAGACTAAAATCTTCTCCGCTTTAGTCAAAAAGGAAATGTGGCGGATCACGAGTAGATGCGCGACCAGTAAATAACGGTTTTACAACTTGATTCGGATACGATCTACCGAATTTCGGTAAAAAAGGATAAGAGTGTGTTAAATAATTTGCTATATGCAATGGGAAATCTCATCAATCTGGATATATCCATCATCTATTAATCGGCTAATCCGACAAATATTCGGATATCAACAGTAAAGCAGATATCCGAATAAATTCAGATATCAACAGTAAAACGGATATCGAATAAATTCAGATCGGGATATCCAATAGATAAGTGGATAAACGGACAACTATAAGTGTTAATTTATCCATTACACTTACTTATTATATAAAATTTAAGCTATCCGAAATTTTCCAAAAACGCTTAAAGCATACACGAATAAAAATTTTTAATACTTTTTTTGTTGTCGTGGATGATCCTGGAATTTGGGGTCCCAATTTAAAAATATAACTCTACCAAATCCGCTTATACTCTTTTATTAACCATTAGTCTAAAAAAAAAGCCGTACATACGCATATGAAATAGATCCAAATTTCACTTCTATGACATTTTTTAGCAAGAACACCATTTTCAATAAGATGTGGAGCTAGATAAGATATGAACCACCTTCAAAAACTTTCGATAATAACAAAAGACTATGATTTAATGTAACGTGACACGGTCAAACGTCCGGCAAAAATTGCAATTTTCAAAAAATCGCCAGAGTAACCATCTTTATGCACTAACTAATAATTTTTCTTTGAAAAACTTGCTATATAAATCACTAACATTTGACACTAATATAAAACTAACCCTAACAAACCAAATTTTTTTTTTTGGGCATGTCACTGAGATAGTTTAAGAAATGGTGTTAGTCGTATGACCAAGATTAATAATTTCAGTAATAGTTTGAATGACTTATAGAACTTCCTATTTTTGATACATATTGTATGTAATACAGTAAAAAGAAGGATATTATAGCGTTTAGGTTTGTATTAGAAAACAGGTGAAACACAGTAATTTTTCAAAGGAAAAACTTTTGGTTAGAGCAGGATAGGTTTTTTGTTTTTTTCAGATTGTGTTACAATTACAAAATTGATTTCGATCAATGTGGTTGCATCGGTCTCATTGTACTTGTGGAATAGGAAGCTCTGAAGGGGCTGTGAAACCTAAATTTTTACCTGTCAATCTATTTTCGGGACACGAACATTAAACAATTGGTTTGTATTCAAGTTAAAATATCTTGACAAATTATTATGTCAACATAGGGTAAAAAGCGAAGTACATATAGATATCGACCAGCACTTTAATTGATCAAAATCTCGAAAATGATAAAAAAAAGTATCAGACGGTGGTTTTCCAGTCCATAACCCACATAATAAATATCAATTATTAAATATTTACCGTTCTTGATAGGGTGTACAAAATTGGTATGCGTAACCTGTATTATATTAAGAATCACATAATGTCACGCCTGAAGTATAACGCCATTTAGTGTCTAGGGATCAGTAATTTCGATTAGTTAATTAAAGTGATTACAATGCATCAGGTAAATGGTCTGTAGAGAAAATAACTTAAATTGGGCTGTAGTACAACACTGTCATTTTGAGTGCAAATATTTACTCCTATTTGTCAATGATCAAATAGATTAAATAAGATTTAAAATTGCCCTCTTTGCCCCAAATACTTTCTTCTTTCCTACAGTATATCTTCTGGTTAAATTCGACTCAACCATCAAGTTTACTTTCATCCAATATGCCTCAGCATAAGTCATCCCGTCAAGCCGCTAATCGAAGATATTATGAAAGAAATCGAGAGCGTATTCTCCAGCTCCGTCGAGCTTCTCGCAATGATACTCGCGCTCGATTACAATTCCTTGATTATATCATTGAATCATCTCAACACCAAATGATGCAAGTATCAAGACCAATCGTTCAAGCATCAAGACCCGAAGAGGATAAATCAGAAACAAATAATTATTTAAATTTGTCCTTTTTGCCCTAAATACTTTCTTCTTTCCTATAATTTCTGATTTAATTCGACTTAACCATCAAGTTCATTTTCATCCAATATGCCAAATTAAGCAAAATTAAGTATTTAGACGGAATGATTAAACAATTAATGCTGTCGGGGTATATTCCCTTTATGATTAACGAATTTTTTATATGTTTTATTTAATAATTTAATTCTTTGGCAAAATCTTTATGCAAAAGTTCAATTTGGCAAAAGAAAATCGGAAATTTTCGTATTTTGTATTATTTTATGCATTCACGCATACATTCGTATAATATTTCTTCGTTTAAATCTTTATGTACATGATTATAAGTAAAAATTTTGTAATAAATAAGCTCTATGTCCTTGGATTAAATTTTCAATTTTTGGAAATTAATTACTAAGGTAAACAAGAAAATGTTTACACTTGATTTCTAATGATTTATCATATGAGATAATTTTTGATGTGTTATATGCTGGAAATTCTATAATACCGTTGTCTTCACTTTACGAAAAAATTTTAAGCTTAAAAAGTTACTAAGATAAATAGTTTAACTTTAAATTAATCGTGTCTTCGGATTTGATTTTAATATTAATTTATGGAAATACACAATATTCTTATTTTGAAGTTGTTAAAGCACTACCTCAAAAAATCTTTCGAGCGTAACTAACTAGAAACTTCAGCTTGTGCTGATCAACAAATGTTACTAAAAAGCTGCGCGTTGTCGTGCAACACCAATAACTGCAATTTATCATGAGATTTAAGTTTCCAAATCCGACTCAATAAAATATGGTAACACACGACTATTTTTCGTCATTCAGATTACATATTTTTAGCAAACTGTTACCATAAGAAACAGGAGGAAACGTTGATGTTACACAGTTGATTTTACACACGGTGTGAAACTCATAAAAAAATTTTTTTACAATACTTGAATAATCTTGATCAGTCAGCTAGTAGATGTTATGATTATAATCCAACACCATTTTTATTATAGTAAAAATGGTGTTGGAT